AAAATGCCTCCGAAGTGTCAGCCGAGCATACCATAGATTTGTAAAAGAGACAGAGTTACACATAATTTAAGTTTTAAAAATACTATTTAATCTGTCCTGTGTCGTATATGGCCAATTGTTTGGCATATACATATATAATGTAATTGATAATTATTAATAAAAAATTTATAATCTTTATATTATATTACTTGTAAACAAACAAATAACTTATCTGTTATAACATATACACTGTTCAACACAATTTCTTATTATTTATATATATATATGTCAATTTATCCATTGTTAAACATGCTATCTCAGTATAACAATCATGTAATGTATAATTAAATACAGTAAACTAAAAAGATCACTAAAAGCGCTGACAACAATATCCCTGGATTGGGGGTACTATCATTTACTATAAAAAGCACTGAAATCCTCTCAGACTAGGGAGAGAGTGATGAGAGTTCGCTTTCGCCGAATTCAAATAAGAAAACAATTGTTAGCCACAACCCCGTGTTGTTGTCGGCTATTTTTTTATGCGTCTTGATTATATACATTCGAAAAGAATTTGTTTTAATTTTTTATTTTTGTGACAAAGTACGAATCGAACACTTATAAGTGTATATATACATATCGAAATATTTATCGAATCATCTCACAGCAATTTGCAAGAAAGAAAGAAGTAAGTGAATTTATGTTATCCCAATTATTGAAAGTTAATAAGTTTGAGTAAATGATGACAAAGCAATAGATCATTTATTAAATTAATATCTTAAAGTGTTAATTTTGACTGGTTGGTTAAAATATTATACATAATCACTCTATTATACGGTATTCGTGAACTGGCTTCGCCGTTTCGTTGCCTTAAAGATGTTTTAAAAAACTTAGCGTGATGTCTACTGTACAAGTTGTTGCGGTTTGTTTTTGCCGCACTCGCGGGATGTTATAATGCTAGGAAAAGCACAACACGTCAATGGTTCAAAAGTGAACGTTGTAATATTTAATTGGCGTTTCGACAACACTATATTTATGTAATATCAGAAAAACAGAATATAGTAAACTAATAATGACAAATATCAATATATATATACAAAGGCACAATGTTCGTAACTGTGTGTTCGGCGTTGTGGAACAGACGACGAGCGATCCGATCAGTAAGGTGCCACGGAGATTACTTAACGTATATTTGCGGCGGGTCGTAGATGGACGTGCGGCACTTGCTGGACTTTGTACCGTGGCGTATCGCACGCGGTGTTAGTCAAACTACCGTGTGCACGTAGTAGGGCGACGGCTGATAAAGGTGCCACGGGTCGCGGGCTCCGTGTATAGAGAACGACGCGGGACCGTGTCAAAGTTAGGCTCTGGTTCCGTGGACTGGCTTTGCCGTTTCGCTACCTCTTAGATAGGATATTAGAAACTAACCAGACAAAAGTTTATTACACCTCAGTTAGAGGAACTGCGTTGTTATTTTTATATCTACTTGCCTTTGTCGTTCTAGACCCTCGAACCATACGACCCCGATAGAACCACAACATCAGGTTCTCACCATATACAGCCCAATCCTAAAAATTTCATTATTTTTATTTTATTAATTTTTGTTATTTGAATTATAACACCTGTTTCATTAATAATTAATTTTGGGTACATTTATCTATTTACGATTTTTAACGATTTAGTGGATTTTTTCAAATAATAATGCTCGTAGTTTCTATTTTGGATAAAGGGGATGCAACTTTTTTATCTTAACGGCCCTTTATATTAATAATTTAATAGTTTAAACACCGTAATTAATAATTTTTTTGGTGTATAACTTGTAATTATGTTAATAATAATAATAATAATTTTGATTATCCAAATGAGGTTGCCGACACTAATTAGTTGGTAAGTGGCATTGAGTCGTTCATGTATTGTATAAATTAAAATAACCTCAATACGAAAATAAGAAAAACAGCCCGCACAATCGTTTGTGGAGAATGCTTAGAACGATCAAAATGCTAATAACAGTTAGTAGCCGATATAATTAATTGAATTGATGACTTGACGCAGAGTCGATGTGTACAGAGAGGTATCACGAAGATGACTTCAACTTATATTTGCGGCACTTGCTGGACTTGGTACCAAACGGTGTCAGTCAGTCAAACTACCATATTCATGTAGTAGGGCGTCGGCTTAAAAGGAGGCGCGGAGCTCCGTGTAACACAAAGCGACGTGGGACCGTGTCAACAACTTTATAATAAATTTACTTATTGACTCTTAATTAAAAAAAAATTATCTCTCGGAAAAATCTGCCAGTGAAACTGTTAAAACTGCAGTGTTTTGATAATCTAAATTATTTAAAACAAATATAATAAAATGTATTAATCAATCATTCCGATACTGTAAGTGTTTACACAGTAAATTTACAAAATAAATTTGTATTGATGTACCTTTTTCATTGTTTTTGTAATATGCGACATTTATTTAAGTTGTTTCTGTGTATTTATGACATGAATTATATTATTAGTTATTTATATAATATACAGAATGATTTTCTTATCATAACCCACTCATGTACTTGGAGAATAAAAGTACTATAAACATTTTATTTTTTGTTTATCTTCAGGTACACATTAATCTTGAATTATTAACTATGTAATACTTTTTTAGTTTATTCCTTGTGGCTTGTAGGGGTGTCAACTTTTTTTTTTTAATTGAAACACATATTTTGAATTTAATAAAATGTTTGAGTTTTTAATTTAATAGTAAATGATATTTGAATTTTTAATGAAATTTTTAATAAATACGCTTTCTGTACACAAAGAATACCTATTGATAGTCATAATTAACTATACACACCCCGTGACAGTGATAGCGACATCATAAAAGAACAGTTAGCTACCTGTATTTGTAATCATTCGTGTATTATATATGTATATTAATTTAAAAAATTGAAACTTAAAGTTTTATTTAATAAGGCACAAGGGATAATCTTAAAAAGTATTACATAGCTAATAATTCAAAAATAATATGTAACTAAAGGTAACCAAAAAAGAAAATGTTTGAATTATAATTATTCTGGAAGTAATTGAGTGGGTTATAAAAAATTCACTCTGTATTTCAAAGTCTCATAAGAATTAAAAAACTTTAATTGAAAATGTCGTATTAAAATATGACATTTTCTGTATACAATAGCGTTTTGAAATTGTTTGATTTTATTATTTTTTTCCGTTCAAAAATAAATAATGAAACTAAAGTTAACTTAATATAAGAAAACGTAAAAGTGACTATATTTCTTATAAAATACTTTTTTTAATAAACCAAATATTGATTAAAAATAAGTCATTATATTCAATAAAATTCTTCCCCAATTATATACTCGAATACTATTTAGCCATTTTTAAATAAACTATTAAACCAGTGCTTGCATTAAGAGAGTGTAAAAAATGCACTCGCATAGGGCATTGTGTTTTAAATATTTTATAATTTGCACAGAGCCTCGCAAATTATAACACCGAATCGGCATTAAACAATTACTTTAATTAAACTTTATTATAAACGTTATAATTAGAAGCGTAATTCTTATAGGTATAACACATAGAAATAAAAATTGTAACACATCAATTATTGAAAATTATTAATACTTCCAAGTTTAAGATAAACTTTTAACTAATATTTTACCTAATTCACAAATTATTTTTATGTTATCGATCAATGTGATAAAAAACATACTGCTAATTATACTTGATCATTAATTGAGCAGAGTTTGCTTGACAAAGAGCTAATTATTACTAGTAAAAGATCTTTTTCAATGAAATTCTAAAAAGCGCGATACGTAGGCACTTCACTTTTCTACTGGTAGTCGATATTTTATGAGAGTAAAACCAAACAATAATAAGACCTATTTTGCTCTTCCTTCGACAAATTTGTGTGTGTATATAAATAAATTGTTACAACATCAGAAGCCGGTGTGAATACAAGGGGAAGTATAGGAGCAAAGCTCCTTACCAAAAAAAAAAAAAAAATCTTTGAAACAGCGATTAAACCCAAAGAAAAAATGAAATACATCCGTTGTAATACATATGCTTAGAGATGGATACTATTGGTTTATATACTTGATTATATGTAAAACTAAACATCATAGGTGATAATGAGCAATTCTTTTAAATTATCTTTGGTATTGAGTCTATGTGCTTTTTGTTACGTAATTCAACTATTTTAATAGCTTTTAAATTAATAATCATTATTAGTGATGCAATTTTTCTACCATGATATACACGGTATTACTAATATTGAAAAAAAAGAGATCATGCTATGATCTATGTTTCTTATCTGAGTTATAATAACAGCAGAAGTAAAAAAAGTCTGTTTCTTTTAATGATAATATAAAATACAAAATAAATATACTTAATTATTTCTCTATTATATCTGGTATTACAAATAATAATCATGAAATATATTTCATATAATGGTATTTGTGAACAGATTTCAAGAAGTTTTATTACACTGCGCAATAATAAAAAACTACGTTGGTTTTTAAAAATTACTTTGTAATAGTAATATTACATTTCCTACAATAAGAATTCATCACTTGCAGCTAATATTAATTGAAATAAAAAATATTTATTTATAACTAAAATGTAATAAAAATATTTAACTCAAAAACTACAAATAATCTAATAAAAAATCGCGTATACATATCTCGGGAACAATAATACCTTCCTTCAAGAATTTAAAAGTTTATATTCTTCTAGGTTGGTTTCAGCACGCCCTGAAGTAATACTTCACGGTAGTTCCAAGATGGTCCACACTTATGCCGGTCGTGAAATAATAAAAAAAAAAAAAGGTTGGTTTCAGCAGAAATAGAGTGTTTCATATCGATTAAAAAAACATAAGGTGCTCAAATTTATAAGATAAATTTAATTAAAAAAATAAAGTTATGAAAAAGTATACCAAGAATATCATGTTATATAATGAAATATCAAATATTTATAAAAAAAAATGATATATTTATAAAACATTTTTTGTACATCAGTCGTATTCTAATAAAAGGCTTTAAACAATCTTTTGGAGCGTTGTATTTCTTTGATAACTATTTAGTTAATAAAATTACAACTGATTCGTTAAAACTGTAATCATTATGCCTCGTTTAAGTTTAGATACAAACTTGCCAACATTAAAAATACCAAATGATTTTTTAAGTAATAGTGGAAAAATACTTTCAGATACACTTGGAAAAGGGAGCAAAGTGAGTAAAAATATGCTAGTAATATTTTATACACTTAAAAAGTGATTTCTACTACATAACTTATATTTTTTAAATTCTTGAAATTTTTTTGCCTATTTACGCAATATTCAATGTAGTATCAAGAATAATTCTGATAATATAATAAAAAAATAAATATTTTGTTAATACAGTCCATTGACGCAACTAAAAGGCTAAAGAGCTTAAGCCATCAAAAATTTAAGTAATTTTAATTTATGTATAAAAGTATTTTTTATTTGGGGATAACTAATTTTAGACTGCTATTCAAGTTACGCCTTTGATTCAGACACTAAATAGCTAAGATTTGAAAGAGAAATTGAGGAATATTTTTTTCAAAAGGGAGGGGCACTTTAGAATTTATTTTTAGGATGTGTGAATTGAATTTTTCCGACTGTTGGCAATATATTTGCTGACTTATATATTTAGTAGTGAGTAAAATAATCCACGAATTATTCTAAAAATGCCAACCACTAATAAGTTTAATTAACGTTTGGGAGTCTGACACCCTCCACATTCCTATTAATCGTTCCCAATTAAAGGTAATATTTTCAAAACTATAGTGTATACATCTGTCAATATTTTTTTTATTTTTAATCATAGTTAAATATACTAAAAATAAAATTAAAATTATCATAGTAAGTATTGCAATTTAAGCATCTTAGGATTTCAAGTTTAAATATTTATAATTTAATGTAATAATACAGTAAAAAATCTCTATTTTTTTCGTTTAATAGCAAACAAATTATTATAAATTATGTACTGTTTTAAATAATAATATCTCTGATCTACACCTAAATCAATGTTGAATAATTATATTCAAAGATAATGCAGAAAAGTCCACTATACTAATGAGCCGTGACGAAATATTAAAAATTATTTACAATTAGTTGTCAATACCTATATTTGTTCATATATTTCCACACTAATGTAATTATAGGGGATATGGGTATGATATACCCCCACGATAAAAATAACTATATGGCAAAGATACGACTTTATTCTTTTGGGGAGATTTGAACAATTTTCTTATGCAATATTCCAACGACAAAATCCTAATAAAGCCACTGTGCTTTCAGTATTATTTTCAGTGACCTATCCAGTGTATGGACAATTTTTAAATTACACTTTGAAAGTAATATAAATGATTTTTTATTTTATTTAAAATTATTAAATTTAATTAAACATAAGAGCATAAGTAAATAAATAAACAATATTTTACTTTTGCAATTTTTATTTATGTTACCCATTTAAAAACAATACTTCGCTAATTAAAAAGAATACAACTTAACATTTTATTTTTATTGGGTTTAAAACAAAACAAGCTTGAAAAATGTCCACGAATTTAGTTTTAATTAAACTGATAAAAAACAGATATAAGTTTATTCACTTGAGAGTTTGACGTCGGTTAATTAGTAGTTAAATAGTAAAAAAGTCTATTTTATTTTGTCTCTTCTGTAAAATTTATTAACTTTTCTGTGCTATTCATCTTTAGTACAGGTAACAAATTTAATTAATTATTTTTACAATATTTAAGATATTGCAGATTTTAAGATAAGGAATATTATAGCATAGTCACAGCTTATGATCCATCAACAGCTATCTATCTATAAGTAGCTGTAACTACAATGATTTTGTTCTAAATACTGAGAACAAAAATTGGATTACATGGTTTTAAATAAAATATTGATTGTTATTGAAAGATTAATAAATATACATTTTTTTTGGCAATAATATAAATTAGTAATATTTATCTAAAACAATTTAATATGTCAATTAGCAAAAAAAATTCATTTGAAAACGAAGTTGGGAGAACAGTTTCCCACTTACAAGTGATTTTTTTATATACCGAATAACCGAATGTACTTACAACTAAATTGATTTAAAATTGGATCGTCACTAAATAACAATTAACCTTAAAATAATCAGAAGTGTTACCCTCTTACTCTATTAGTAATAGGATAATTAATAAGTTTCAATGTCATAAAAGAGTCAACTTTTTTTATTTTATTAAAAAAGAGAAGTAAAGTAATTACAAATTTTTTATTTCAGTATTGTGTAACAACAGTAAACGCAGGTTTAAAAATGTATGTTAGTTCTTCAAACGAACCATGTGGATTAGTTAGTGTTACCTCAATTGGTAGTATAGGTCCAGAAGAAAACAAAAAACATATTACAGCCATAACTGACTACGTTCAACAAGCTACAGGAATACCTAAAAACAGGTAAATATAATACAAATAGATTTGTATTAAATTTCAAAATTAATATTTCAACATAATTTTGAGGTGTATTAAAATATTTTCAGTGTAATTAATTACAATAAAAATCAATATATTTTTTTTATTTACATGGTTGTTTATTTTGCACATTATGTAACAAAATTAAAATTTTATTATGAATTTTTGTATTCAATAACAATTATCATACACAAAATTAAAACATTAAATTTAAATTATTTAAATTTAATGTTATGCATTTTTCTTATTTAATATATCCTAATCATGTTAGAAATTTAAAAAAAAACATCTTGCTTCAGTAGATATAAAATTAATTTTAAAGTTTTGTTTTAGATTTTTTCAAATTTGAATTTTTAGGGTGTCATTTAATCTTGTTCATTTTATTGTAAAAATTTGAATAATTTATAAAATTTTGGAGGCAGTAACGTATTTTCAAAAAAATTATGTTTGAAAATAATACTAATTAAGGATAGCGTTCACGCTACTTTCCTCCTCTACGATACTTAAACAAATAATGTAATTATTCAATAATAGTATTCTGCAGAACTCTTGTAAAAATACTAATTTTATGACTAAAATTTGAACGTGGACAATTAATTTTAAAATATTCAGTTTATTTATCATATATATCTATATAAATTAGATTAATACCGCATATTACAATCAAATTGTTTTACTATTAAACAGTTCATAGTACAAAGTGTATAAAAAAAGTTCTAACTTTGTCATGAAACAATTTCTGTAAAACCACAAGACATTGAGACAGACATTTTTAGTTCTCTAGTTAAGAAACATATTTTTGAAATTGAATAATTCATGTGTTTTTTTAATATTTATTCTAATTTTTCTATTTATAGATTATTTGTATTTTTTCAATCAAATACACCTGATAGTACTGGTCATCTTGGAACAACATTCCATCAATTATACTTTGTTGAAAAAGGAGTTCGACTTTAACTTAAAATAGATTGAAAAATATATGATATTGCATTTGTAAATGTATGTTGTTAATTTAAAAAATAATTTCAATAAAAAAATAACTAAATATTTATTAATATGTATTTTAATATTTAATTGTCGCCTTAAAATAAAAAAGTATCTTGTAGGAGGACGGTTTAATTTAATTTTCTTCTGCATTCGTGTAAGAAATTACTAACGAGATAAAATAAAGCATTAACTAAGCTCTAAATTATGAAAACATGTAAAAATGTTTAGTTTTTAATTTTTCTTTTTTTTGCTAATTTTGATGAAAACCACAAATCCTTTAGAAATATTACTATAGATTGTAATAACTCTAACAGTTAGTTCTATCAGGGTCGCATTTAGAAATTGTACAGGGGTACCAGGAATGTCATTTGGGGAAAGGCAACTTGGGCATTTACCCCAATCTAATTTTTAATAAAACTGGGGCCTGTCAATTCGCACTCATACTGATCGCGCCATACTTTGAAAAAGCTCGTTCATTGTTAAAAAACAATTTATAATAATCATAGGAATATAGTGAACATTTATTTTCATCCGATGAAAATGACGGCTAATATTACTAATTTAATTTTCATTATTTATCTAAAAGTTTTTTCATAGAAAGTTCCGTAGGAAATTATTTATTTAATTATCGTCAAAGTGATTCTGTTAAAAAGGTCTGGATAATTGTTATATATAGTGTAATATTGTAATTGTGCATATGATGGAAAAAAATTCAAACAAATTTTTTCTTATAATTATTTTGCCCAATTAGGTTTAGACATTTTTGACAAATATTCTCTTGATAATTTGCTATTTATCATACATTAGTTCTCATTTTTTTCGAGTACAATTTAATATTATTCATCATTCATAAATTTTATCTTTAATAATTTATATCTATTAATAGACACATAATATCATATAAGAAAGTATGCGTTAGTAAATGACCTGGTAGTAAAATTTTCTTGATAACTACTATAAAGATAATTTATGACTTATTAAAACTAATTAATGTTGTCTACAGTATAATTAATGATGAATTCTTATACATTAAATCAAAATTATTGAACAATAAAAATGTAAACGGTTTTTAATTTTAATACAATTTATAAAAACAAAATTTTTTGAAATTTATTTTTCTATCTTATCATCAAACTAAAAATAGGGGTTTCTACTAAATAAACTAAAATTTAAGTTTTTTATCCATAAAGGGATTAAAAAAAATATTTAACTATTTTGTTTGGTTGGGTTTGGTTAGTAAACCCCTAGATGCGACCCAGAGTTCTATAGTATAGAAATAACTGTTCACTTAAAAGCATCTCAATTCATTTTTCGTTAAGTTGAAGATTCTAATAAAAAAATATTCTTTTTCCTCGCCTTAATATATATATTTATTATACAAGAATATTGAAAGTATAATATTGTGTGAAGTAGTAACAACTTATCACCACACGAGAAGAAGCCCTCAAAATAAAAATGAGACAGATCTATTTATATCAAAATAAATAATTGTTAATAGTAGACAAGTATATTGTCAAGTATTTACTTATCTTATTTATGTCAATTAAAGAACTATAAACTCAGTATATATTGTATTATTTAACTTGTAGTAGTACATAGTATTAGTAGCACAGGTGTACTCAACATTTTTTAATAGAAGGCTAAAACTAAGAAATATCCTTATCACATTTTTAGCCAATTATATAAGAAAAGTATTGATTTAGTATGATCAATGAAAGCAGGGCTTCGTCTTACTTTAGACGCAATTTGAAAAAAAAAATTTGGAAGGATTTAAATTAATTTTTCTTCTCTTTAAAAATATTTCTATATAAATTTAAATGTAATTTTCATTATTTTCGGAAGGTCTACAATAGAATTAGAAGAACTAAGTCCCTTCTAGACTCCCCAAAATAACCTAATGGATACACCATTCACAGTATTCATGTAAAATGACAAATGTCACTTAACATCAAGACTTTGATGATTTAAATGTCTTGATAAGCAGACAATTACCCTCTTATCAATAATGATTTATTTTGCTATAATTCTTTTGAACTTGTAAGTTCTAATGTAGAGTAATTGAAAAAAAAAAATTAAACACTATATATTAAAATACCAAATGTGTTTACTATGAAATATAAATTGTATTTTTTAAACAAACTTATGTATAATTTTAAATGAGATAACAATGTTTTTCAAGCCATACAAGTATATTAATCACTTAAATTAAAGTAGTGTTATATAATAATTCATAAAAAGACTCAATTCGGTATGTTTGCCAAATAGTCAGCAACTTGTTGCTGGTCTAGTTTTTCAAATATTATTTCATTATTTTTGTTTTTACGACAAACTCCAACTTCAATGTTATCTGCTGTCATTTGTCCTTCAAAGCCTTCTTTTAATGCCAAAATAGCAGTATGAATTGCATCTTCTAGTTCTAAATCTTCTTTATACCTAGTTTTTATAAAATGCTTAAAATGAGTAAAACTTAACATTGTTGGAATTAAATTCCTTTTTTTTTACATATAGGTAGACAATTTTTTTTTTCAAATTTTATTAGTTATAAATATTTTTTGATTTGTCTTTTATGAATTACTTTTTAGAATTATCCCTTATAACTTATAGGGATGCTAATTTTATTTTTTCAAATACAACATACATATTTAACTAGCTTATAAAATATAAACGATGACCACTTTTGGACGAATCATGTGGAAATTATTAACAATTTAAAATATAGACTAGAAGTAAAACGTGGTTGCACCTAATTTTATGCCTAGGTATAAAAATGAGAATATTGATTTACTTTCTAATGACTAATCCAAAGGTTGTTATCAACCAATAATTTTATAAATTAGATAATTTTTTATATTACAAGCTAGTTAAATATATATGTAGACCTCTGAAAATGTTTTCAAATTTTACCTGATAATTAAACATTATTGGGTTAAATTAATTGAATTATATTATCTATATTATTTTAAATAAAATAAAACTTTTTTCAAAAAAAAAAATTTTTTTTTATGGAAATGAATATATACTAGGAATAAATCTTAGTTTAGCATATTATAACACACAAAATTTCTAAGTTGTTTGTTCAACTATAATGCCAACCTAATTATAAAATAATGAGTATTCAAATACTTGCATACATCCTAACAGCAAATTATACAAGTTGAAGTACAAATATGCCATTTTCACAAAAAATTAATTTAATTAATATTATTAACAAAGAAAATCAAACGATTAAACACTTTTTTACCTTTTTTCTAAAAATAATTTACTATTGACATAGTTCTTTCCCAGAGCTGTTGCTTTCCATGCAAAATATGCTCCAGAAGGATCACATTGGTAAAGTTTAGGTCCAGTCTTATCCCAACCACAAACTAATAATGAAACACCAAAAGGTCGCACACCACTAAAACAAACATTAATTACTTATTTTCTAGATACTTTAATTCAAATATAATTATAAATAAAATGAGTAAATTAAAAATTTTCCTGGAAGTTGAATAAATAAAAAATTTATAGCTCCATGGATAAAAATTATACAGTATACGCCTATGTCGTAAAAAAGCAATTAGCTATCTGTTATTATGATTGCCAGTATATCATACATTTGAATTCAAAAATTGGATAATTTACAGTAATATATCTAATAAAGGCATAAAGTTAGGTTAAAGATTCAAATGCCATTTACTATTAAAAGAAATTTCAGATATTTTATAAATTAAAAATACGTATTCCAATTATAATATACAACACAATAATTGTGTTATAATTATTATACAGTAAAAACTACCTATATAATATTTTTAAAAATTGCTGATCAGTACAACATTGCATAAAATATCAAGAAGTAAAAAGCTTTGGTGTATAATCTATATTTTAATTCATAAAATATTACCCAGATTGAGTATATTCTTGCATCACACTAGCCACTTCTTGAACTAACAAAGCAGTAGGAATTTCTTCTAAAAACTTCAATTGATATTGAGCAGCTTCTTTTCTTGCTTTCCTAACAAGTAGTCTATAATCTGGTCCCATACCTAGAATAGAAATTACATATAGTGAAATTGTATACAAAGAATAAGTCTAGATAATTTTTTTTAAATAAAAGAAAAGTTAAAGAAAATAATCTTTTCCTGTTGGCTACTTTTTTTCCTTTTCCCCATCTCTTATTTTCTCATCTTTGTTACACTCATTCTCTGCTCTACTGTTTTATCAACCACCCAACACTCTGAATCATACAACTTAGTTGATCTCAATAGTTGGAGTTATTTTATTGCATAACATACCAGACACTTCTCTCCACTTTAACCACCCACACTTATTTCTGTGTCTTACATCCTTTTCAATACCACCGTTCTTTTGCACAACTGATCCTAAATACTTAAAACTTTCTTAAAGCTTATTGTCATTGATCTCTTCATTCTGCTTATCTTGTGTTCTTCTTTGTCAAACTTGTACTATATATAATCTGTCTTACTCCTACTTTTTCTTAAACCCTTTTCTTCCAGAACTGATCTTCACACCTCTAGCCTTTAATTAATTTCTTCCCTATTTTCTCCTATTAATTCATAAAATATTACCCAGATTGAGTATATTCTTGCATCACACTAGCAACCTCCTGAATTAACAAAGCAGTAGGAATTTCTTTCTAATGTGTAAGCTACTATTATAATATTTTTGCTAGCATTTTAGTTTTATTTTTTTTAAATATACTTAAAAGTCAAAATATATAATAGTTTATATATGGTATTAACGTCTAATGAGTATTTATGAGTTTATTGTAAATACAATAAAAATAATAACACTAAATTTATTTCTTATGATAGGTCAAAACTAATAATTTATTTACTCAAATGTTATATTTTGAAGGTATGTATTTATTTTATTGATAAGACATATAAAGAGTACTCTTTGATATATTGATTTAAATATTACAGGTAACATTAATAGGATGAGATTTAAAAAACTATTATCATAAGAAAAATATTTGACTTACCACTGTAGACCATTCCAATATTGGGTGTTATTTTTTGAACTTTTTCTACAGTCGTTTCATACAATAAAGATTTACGTTTGTTTTCAGTAGCAACCACTACACCATTAGACGCTACAAATAAAATAATTTAAATAAAATTTTTTTTCACTAAAAATTATAGCTTAATTTCATTATAACTACCATTATATAAATGTGTTAAAATATTTTGATTATTTACCAATAATGTCATTTTAAGTTTATTTAAATATTAAAAAGAATTATTATTCTTTAAAATTAATTTTGCTCTGTAAAATTAAATAAAAAACATTTTACTTCTTAAATATCATATAAATATAAATACAATACAAACTCATCTTCATGTTTTGCATTTGATACATTAATTTAAGAATAAACTGTTGTTAATAATTAGTCTAATGATTATTGATAATGATAATGTATTATTTTAACTTTACATAACTTACATAAATTAACATATTTACATTTTTTTAATTAATATGAAAATTATTACTCAAAAATGTACACTATTTTTTTTAAATTAATGAAAGTCAGTATTTTATATAATCTATTAAATAAAAGGTAAGCTCATAAATAAACATATATAATTTTTATTGAATTATAAGATTTTACAGTAAAATTCTCTACACTAACTATAAAACCATAATAACTGAAGTAATAGTATAATAGTAATTAAAATAATCAAAAATAACAATTTTAACATTACCTTTAATTCCCACCGAAGCTGCTCCAGCTGACACTGCTGCTAATGCATATTCTATCTGAACTAATTTTCCTGAAGGGCTATTAAAAAAAATATATATACACAATATTAGATTTATGAAAGGTAAGAATAGAAATAAGAAAATATCAATATCAAGAATTTTCTATCGAATTACTCTGAAGACTTGTTAGTACAACAAATTTAATTTACCTGAATGTAGTTAGTGAAAAACTATATCTTTCATTAGCCATGATTTTTTGTAGGTAAATGAATGCACAATTTAAAAAAAAACTTAGGTTTGAAACTCAGAAAGCAAAATGTTATATGATAAAGTTTTCAACTAACAATTACTAAGCGGAAAATTTGAAGTTCGAATAGATAAGTTTGAACAATAATATTAGTTTGAGGTTAAGAAACAAACATATAACAGTCCAGCTGACGTCATGATATAAAATAAAAGAATTGATTTTGTGATAATTGATAAGAAAGAAAATTTTTTATTTTTATTGATTTTATTTTATTAACAACAATTTTTAAAATTAAAAATTAATTTTTGAGAAGGATCACAATATTAAAAATAATTTTTATTGATTAAAATATTCAAAAATGATGAAAAATTTAAAGAAATTTGCATCTCAAAATGTTTTGGCGCCTAACCACTTTATAAATCTAAAGAATGATCAATATAACTACAATGAAAGTGATTGGCAAGTCTTACAAAAAAAATTGAATATCTCTTTTATAATTAATTTTACTAGAATTAAAATTGTAGTTTATAAAATTTTAGCTTCGAAATGTAGCTAAGAAGCTATTAATATTACTCTGACGTTATTTCTGTATTAATGTATACGAATCTACTAGACCACTTTCATTCAACAATACATCATAGTATCATATAACATATTTAGTTAGAGGAATCAGTGTCAATATTTTTAAAAATTCAATAACATCCCTATAATAAAAGAAAATGTCCTAACAAATTGCAATTATAGTCTTAAAATCTTCAATGACAATATTTTTAGTTTTATTTAATATTAACTTTCTTAAATATGGGCAGATCAATGTTATGGGGAATACTTTAAAAATTTACCTTACTGATAATATACATTTTTTTTAAATTGATTTTGTGCTATTATAGGTTAATGGTAGCAAGCAATTGGTATTTTTGGATTTATACTTGGACTTTAATGGTTGTTGCTGTTGTTGGTCTTGGAGTAACAATATCATTAATGGTAGTTTTAAGATTTACTACTAGTATGGAGAGCATTGAATTTCTTACAGATAAAGAAATTACAAAACTTATTGGTAGTATAGATTTGGATAATCTATACAAATTAGATGGTAAATTAGAAGGATTCAAGAATATTCCAGTAGAAATTGGAACTGAAAATAATTTAGTATTTATGCATGTTGTGGATCCAGAAAATAAAAGTTAGTTACATATTAGCTTAATGAGTATAGATGAAATTATTAAAAATTTAAATTTCTTTGATTAGTATTAGTAAATAATAATTTTGTTTTTAGGTATGGAATCAGCAATTGAACTAGGATTTGGTAAAACACTAGTCAAAAATGTTGATTCATTTACTGTAGGTGATTTCAACAAGCCTATTTTTACTACATCATTTCCTAACTTTGGTCTTCCTGAAGGAGTTCGTCATTTAGATGTCGCAACAGCATATACTAATCGTATCGTAAGCCCAATAAATGAAACTCTTACATTAAGATCTTCCAACTATACTAGACTTAAAGGCAATGAAGGAACATTTATTGATGGGTCAAAAATTAAATGGTCAGCTGATGGTGATATATTTCTAAGATCAGTCAATGGAACAGTGATTCTGAGTTCTGATGGTTTATATTTAGATGTTCAAAATTTACCAGTAGTCTTATCAAATAAATTTGCTGCTCATCAGTTTAAATTGTGCATTTGTATGCCTAGTGGTATGATTTTTCGAGTTCCTGTACCTAATAATTACAACTCATACATGGCTTGCAGTATGATTAATTTAATTGATGATCATCCTTGTGCATAATTTGGTATGTATACCATTTAACATCTAATTAAATTTATAGAAACTTTGTTTTTTATATTTTATAATATAAATACAACTACATAATAAATTGTGTATAATATAAATAGTATAGGGTAATTGATTTATCATTGACCACTAAATTTCTCTAATAATAATAATTTTTAGGTCCATCTCTTATCCTTTATAAAGGTATTAAAATTATTTTTTTTTTTAATAGCAACATAAATATTAAACTATCATTAATGTTAAAAAATGATCCAATTAAAAAAATGACTGTTCGATGACAATTTTTTAGACCAGTACTTCGAAAGTGTTTAACATTTGAAAATATAGATTGAAGTAGAAGTGTGATTAATGTAATTTTATAATCGTGCATTTCTCTGCTATGCTATACCTCAAACCCAGGTATAAAAATATGCCTAACCCTAGAACTACTCGTTTAAAAGCTGTTATCAACCAGTCATTTACTCAATTAGACCATTTTATAATGTTAAAAATAGTTAAATATTTATATTGCTATTTAAAAAATATAGTTAGTACCCTTATAAGGAATAAGGGACTTAAAAATTTTTCAATTACTTAAACTTCAGTAAATAAATAATAGTTAACAAATTTAAGTATTTTTTTTTTTTTTGAGAGATTCTATTAAATTAATAATTAAGTATTTTTGGTTTCAGAACAATGTAAGACACTTCAAAAATCAAAACTAGAATTGTACATATTAAATGTTCGCATAAATCTAAATCCTTGTTAAATAAATAATTGGTTTTAATGTGACATCATATTTTTCCTACATTGAAGATTTAATTTTTAATTTAATTTTATGATCATACTTCTTGGTTATCATTATGTATGTTAAATACTATACTTATATGAGTTCAGTTTTCACTAAAACTTTAAAACATCATAAAATGTAATGATAAAAATTCATTAAGTTTTTTTTTTACTAATACAACATACATTGTTATTACTATTAATAAATTATTCAACACTTAGTTTTATTTACTACATATGCTGAGTTAAAGTCTACTGAAGAAAACTTTTTTTAACATCTCTAATTAAAGTTTTTCCTAGAATTATGAGTGACTTAGCATAAAAATATCTATTTTTTAACGTTTAATGACTTTTCAACTGAATAGAAGTATTTAATCAATATTGTTATTTAATTGTATAAACTTAAAAAATTGTTCCCATTGAAATTTAATTTATGATTATTGTTTTATAGTAAATAGTTGACTAATCCTTATTAAGAACTTATTTTTTATTTTTATAGAATTTATTATATAATTAACAATATATTGTCTACATTTTTGTAAAAGTAATTTTCTTTACTTATAGTTATTTATCATCTAGTCTTTTTATCTAGTCACTTACTTTAATATAGCTAATTAATTTTATTAATAAGTTTTGTAATGTTAAAATCTGTTATATTGAAATTGATATTACAATAAACATATATATGACATGCTATATTCTTTGTGGACAATGTTTAACTATAAATTAAAAATAATGTTCACTTAAAACATTAGAATATCCTCACATGTTTTCAATTTTACATAAAAGGGAATTGTGTATTTAATCTTATTTAAGTTGAAGTTGTTTTATTTATATTTTAATAATAGATTATAACCAAAACATTGTTTATGGTTTTTTTAAAGAACTTTATTAAATAATAAGAATATTATTTAGAAATATACATTATTTTAACATAAAAGTAATTAATTAATTACTTAAGTTCACATAAAGAAAATCAGTTGTCTATTTAAACAAAAATTAAAACTAGTCAAATTACATAGGTAAAAAAACTTAATATTCTTACTTAAATCTCAATCATTACATAGAGAACACTCTTTTTATAAATATTTAAACAAAATTAAGAATATTAATTAAAAAATCCCTTAAACAAACATCACACAAAATTTAAATTTGAAATACCAAGTAAATTGAAAAGTTTTAGGGTGCCAATACAAGTGTTAAAATAAGTCATTAGAAATTAACATGATTCGAATTCTCATGCATTTTCCATAACAACTTCTTCACTTTCTCCACCAGCAGGGTCAGCTTCTTCAGAAGTTTCCTCTTGCTTTTCATACCCTTTCTGTAGTTCTCCCAAATTAATACCATTCACCGATTTTAATTTTAAAATATCTGTAATTTTAAATACATGATTATGTTTTAAATCCATTATTATTTTTGGTAATTTAGTGACATTAAATTGAGCCTACATTTTTGACAATTTTCAGGAGAGGCAAAAAAATGATGTATTATTCAAAATTTATTTAAAATGATTTTTATTAAAAAAATGTTTTTTAAAATACTATTAAATAAATAAAAAAATTCACAATGTAACTTCTTTTTTCATATATGTTAAGTTATTTATAACAATTAAATATTAACCATAAGAAATCGACAAAAATTTTAATACATTTTATTTTCATAAAAAATGTAGTTACATAGCGAATTACTACAAAGGTAACAATATTATATAAAATTTATATTATATGGTTCTAGTAAATAATATATGTTACTTACTATCATTTCCATTAAGTATTGCTATGAAACCACCATGGGCCATAACTCTAACTAAATGTTGAGCAGTCATACACAACAAATCTTGCTGTTCTAATGTTAATAAATTTTGTATTCTAACACTTCCAGTTTCACATGGATCTATAATACCTGCTGAACCTGGAAGAAACAGTCCACCCGCTAGTAATTGAACTACTCTTCTGTATGCTATTTGAATAGGTAATGTTTGCTTGTTGTTCAATAATGAGCGATGTGCCTAAATTAAAAATAGATTTTATCACTATTTAAAATATCTAATTTTAATTTATACACAATAAAATTTACCAGCAAATCAATCATCCATGGATTTAAGCATTGTAACCCACTAAATCTATTCCGCAAATCCTTAAGAAGTCTTACAAGCATTTTGTTTGATGAATGAGATGCGTTGTCATCAAACCATCGGCTATAATCAAAAAATCATAAATTTAACTGTAAGTTAATTCAAAACTTCGTAACTTTATTATTTATATATTTATTATACAAATCTTTAAAATTAAATAACCTCGCAGAAAAAGATTTTTTATACACAGTTAAATTTTAATAATATATGATATATCTATCACAATACTCAAGATTTTTTTATTAAGTTATATTTATTACATAATAAATACCTGTGTCGAATGGCACTCATGTGTAACTTCATTGCATTTGCATCTAAGTGCAGACCAGAAGTAAGTTTCTTAAGATTAGCGGCTATAGTTGAGATTAGAATACGTACAGTTCCATGAGAGGTAATGACATCAAATCCTGTATTATCAGGTGCCATCAGAACATCTTAAAAATAAAAAGTATCACAAATTTAACTTAAGCTATTTTGAAAATTAAATCAATTATGTTATACATTTATTTTATAGACAATAATTGTATTGCAGTGGATCAAGATACTACCCACATAATTAATGGGCAATAAGTCAAAATAGCCAATACAAAAATTATGAAAAATATTTTAAAAGAAACCTAATCTAAATTATGAGTACCTTGTGCTATATTTATGCCAGTTATATTATTTTCTTTAAAATCAGAAATTATACGTTGTGATAAACTAATAACACTTTCTTTAGTAGGTAATGTTTTAAATATGACAACTATATCAGCTACAGAATGGCCTTTCATAATAGTAGCCTTTTTAAATGATCCAACTACTCTAACTTCTTCAATCTAAAAAAATTAAGAAGATATATTAAATTAAAAATGAAAAAAAAAAATGTCTTGATTTTTTTTTATAAACTTACAGATACTTCTGTTTTACCAGGAGAAATAATAATGTTATCTAATATTGATTGTATTTTTGTGACAACTCCCAATAAAGCTGAGTGGTCATCAGGGCTTGGTGTCAAAACTTGTGCTCTTTTCAATAAAGCCTGGTGGTAAAATTATAATTTATTATTTACATTAGTTCTTAAAGATAATTATAATGAATAGTTATAACTTACAGCATTAAAGGCTGACTCTTCTGTTGTATGAGCTCCAGGTTTTACTCGCGGAAAAGCTCCTTCACACAAAACAATGTCAAATGGATGTCTAGGTACTTTACGATTTAAGTATGGCGAAACTAAAGGTCCGCCTAATGGAGGCGGAAATCTGTTCATATTCATACGTCCACCACCACCTCGAACCATGATTGATATAATTTGTATTAATTAATATCAAAATTTCAATAAAGTTAAAATGACACTAAAAATTTAAATACAAAAATTTCTTTGTGAATAATAATCAAAAAATCAACTCGGTGTTTACGAATGATTCATAAACAATATTATTGATAATAGTGTAATAAAAATATAGTAAATACTTATACATAAAATAAACCTAACCTAAATTATTAATAAATTTTACAATGATACAAGTTATTGATATTTTCATGGAAGAAATCACGTACTTGTGTGACACTTATCAATTATTTATATATATATATATATATGTATTTACATTGTGCATATTATGTACAATGAACATAAATGTCTTTCAACTTTTGTGAGGCGTTATGAATTTTTAATTTCATTAATATTTTTACTCTTGATTAAACATTATAATGATATTACTCATTTTGACGACAAATCATTACATGACTTTTTGATCTTTTATGTTAGTTCACCCTAAACCTAATTTTTTTTTTAAAGAAAATCTTAAGATCATTAATTAATGTGTGCAATCCTGTGAATGTAAAAATAATGGGGTTATATTGATCATTATAATATTCAAAATATTAGTATTATTTACAATGAAGAAAACATAAAAATAATTTTACATATTTAATCATATTAAAATTTAATATCTGATTTTATATACAATTTTTAAAATTCGTAATCGTTACAATTTGGTTGACTGGTGCTGACAATGCTAGGGTCTAGTTCCCTGTAATCGTTCCGCAGCGTCTCTAAATCTTCCCTAGCGTTTTGAAACTCTGATTTCTCCATACCTTCGCTTTCATACCAATGAATAAATGCCCGTTTGCGAAACATCAAATCGAATTTATGGCATAAATTAGACCAAGCTGCCTCAACATCCGTCGTATTGGACATCATACACACCGCCCGACCGCAACCGACCATATCGTCTCCTCCGGCAACACACGCCGGCCGTCTAAAGTTAATTCCTACTTTAAATCCGGTTGGGCACCAGTCTACAAACTCCAAATGTTTGGTGTTCTTTAGGTGTGCTATGGCATAGTTGATGTCTTTAGGAACAACGTCACCCCGATATAACATACAGCAAGCTATGTACTTTCCACTGCTACCTGTAGCCATTTGTTTATTGTCCAACCGAAACAGTTGATTACCTTGTTCAAAACAGCTGGCCGTTATTTCTTTAATAGATGGATATTCGTGAGCTGACTTTTGAGTAGACACAAACGGTGCGTACGCTAACAAGGGAAAATGAATACGAGGGAATGGCACTAGATTTGTTTGGAATTCATTGATGTCCACATTAAGCGAACCCTGAAACCGAAGAGACGCTGTAATAGAAGACACCACTTGACTAATGATCCGATTGAGGTTTGTATACGTAGGCCGTTCGACTTCCAGTTTGTTCGCACTTATGTCGTAGATCGCTTCGTTATCTACCATAAATGTACAGTCAGTGATGTCCAGCGTTTTATGGGACACGAGTACGGAGTTGTATGGTTCGACAACGGCCGTAGACACACGAGGCGCTGGGTAAACAAGTACTTCGAGGTTGCTCTTTTTAGAATATTCTTGTTTCAGACATTCAGATAGAGCGCCGGTTAAACCGGATCCTGTTCCGCCGCCCATCGAGTGGAACATGATGAACCCTTGGACGCCGCCACATGTTTCTGTGAACATACGTATTGTCTCCATTACTTTGTCCACGTATGGCCGTCCCTCCGTATAGTAGCCGCGGGCGTAATTGTTGGCTGCGTCTTCTTTGCCGGATATCAATTGATTTGGATGAAATAAAGTTCGATTTCGGCCAGTCCTTATCTGGTCTATCACCGTCGGTTCCAAGTCGACCATCACCGTTCGTGGCATAAACTTTCCGTTGTTGGTTTCCTTGTAGAAAGTCGAATTCTCTGTGTCACAACTAGTCAACTTAACGTGTCCGTCTTCTCCGATTCCATGTTCGACATTATAGAGTTCCCACACGGCGTTGCCCATCTGTACGCCAGCTTGTCCAACGTGTATTGTTATTACTTGACGTTTGTTTTCCATTACAAGTTTTTAGATTTAAAAAAAATTTATTGAATTTAAAAATAATTTACCGTTAAAAATATAATAAAATCGTTCACAGAATAAATTTGTCTATGGTTAAAAATCACTAATAATTTTTAAAATGTATTAAAATTTAACTGAACGTGTTGTTGATTTTTTGTCTCTGAACAACAATCGCATAGTGTAGATTTTGTTTATTCAATAATTTTTAAGCCAATTTTATTATTTTTTGAAATTTTAAATACAATATTCTTTTTAATTTATATTGTTATTGCTATATTCGTGGCTTTAACTGTTTCTTAAAATAACGTTTATCTCAACCCAACATTAGGTTCCTGTTTCACTGATATGATATATAATTTTAGATTTTAATTATACAATAAAACTAAAGCTATATAGAAGAATATCATTTGTTACATTAATTTATTTTTACAAATTTTGTTATGCTATCATTATTATTTAATACATTTATATTTATATGAAATTCAAATTCAAATTAAATATTTAAAAATATCTAATCAGATAAAATAACACACACAAGAGATTTTTTTGCATATTATAGGCGCCGAGTTAAAATGTTTTTTATTAAAAATAAAGTCGAAATAAATTATACAACACTATAAAATAGTTATCAAAAAAATTTGTAACATGTACTTGAACAAAAATGTTCATAATAATTTTACGATTTTATTTTTTACATTTTTAACTTTATAATGATATAACTTATTGAAAAGTGTATGGATCAATATAATTTTTTAATGAGAAATAATATTTTTTAATAATCCCTTTTTCATTCGACATACTTTATCTTAATCAGGATATTAATAAGGAACTAGCAGATTATGTAGCTTTTGGAATAATCCTCCCAATTTTTTAAAATTAAACACTATCTAAAGATTTGCATCGAAGCGTTTTTTTTTTATAGTGATTTTAAACACTGTCAGATATCATTATACTCGATCCAACTATGCCACGTCACCACTGTGCCGCGGCCCCCCTGTGCTGGGTTTTTTTTATTAACATTGATGTCTGTTTTCACCACGAAGAAAAAAAAAAGTCCGAACATTTTTTTTTTCAAATTAAAGTATATTACATAAGCTTTAATTTAAGATATATATAAAAGTGTCAGACCTTCCAGAACATTTTCAAAAATCAAGTTGAAAAAATTAATTTTTTGTGTAAAAGTTGTCATTTTAAATCCTCCTCTGTGGGCAAGTAAAGGGTCACATATAAAAAAAAACATATACCAAATGAAAGTGAATAATATCATGCATCTATATAAAAAAGAATTATTTTCATTTGTTCATTTTTGAAAAAGTTATGGCGGTTTTAAGTAAAAAAAATTGAAAAAATTTCGAATATTAGCGATTTTTAAATTTGTATTTTTTGGAGGTTTCCCCCATTTACGGGGAACGAGGGATTTATTTTCAATTTTTGAGGATAATGTCTTCCACTAGATACGATTTGTGATCTTTTGACGTATTGTTGAAAGAAATCGGTCCTGCGAGAGCTGAGAAAAAGTGGCAACAGACATAAAAAAAAAAAAAAAAAAAACACATGGTAAAATTAATTCCATAAANGGGCAAAAAAAAAAAAAAAAAAAAAAAAAAACACATGGTAAAATTAATTCCATAAAAAATAATTCCATTAGTTTAACTGCCGAATAGAAATAAATCATAGTATAAAATGTAAAAGTAAGGCTATTAAATTTATAAAATATTTGTTCTCATTACTTACAAAATAAATAGTATCATTTTTTTCATTTAAATTATTTTTCTACTACGCTCGGGTATCAGAAAGATTGATGTATATATATATATTTTTTAACCTTGCACCAACAGTTTTTAGATAAATAATTAGCCGCAATACTTTTTCTTTTTTGTCGCGCCTAAAATAATATAATTTAGTATCTTCAAAAAGTTGTAGTTCATTATTTTGGTCAGTAAATTATTTATTTTACGAGTAATAATACAATGTTATTTTGTTTTTTGGTTCTACCTAATAGTAATCAACAATTATACCAACTCCTTCTCTAGTCATATGGTATGTGAGTTTTAGAATCCAGATATTAATCAAACACATTGTTATAGAGGACTATGACTAATTATATAACTTGTAAGATGTTTATCATAATTCTTAGAGTACATCAGATTAGTATTTCTTCTTATTCTTCTAGTTGTATAATATAATCTCTAACTACCCTTTTAATCTTAATTGTACTTAAAAATAGCTTATACGTGTGTAATATTTTTAATTTAAGGCCTATTACATTTTTGTAAATAAAGGGGTATTGATGAGTTTTAATAGCAATACATAAATTATTTATATTGTTATAGATATGCTTACAAATAGATTGTGTTGTATTATTAGAATGATAGATTGTGTTTTATTTATGTAAATTGAATATATTTTTTATGCCATTAATATTAATAAAGGCATTTAGGGGTATACTGTAATGTGTCTGTGTATAAGGTACAAACAACAGTAATAACTGATTAAAGTTTGAACTTTAAAATATATTTTTGATCTATTGTTTTATCGTTCTTAATTCTGATTAAGTACTCAAAACACATTATTTTATAACTTATATATTTTTGATAAAATATTAATATTAACCTTGATATTTCCTGTAAATAAATATGACTCGCTTTTTTCTCTTTTTTCTAATATAAATTTTGTATACAAATGATCCCTTAATGTATTTGACTTGAATTTGCGGATACTTGAGATTTTTGATTGTAGAAAATTGAATTGAAAGCAAAGACTAATAGCAACCAAAAAACTAAGAGTGTAAATCCCAGGCCAGTTACAAACATTTTCTGAGCTATATGAAATGTTAGCAATAATTTATATTAGGGTGGTCCTTAATTTTCATTTTTTCAAATTTGAACAGACTACCCCCGGAATTTGTTCAAAACTATAAAAAAATAATTTGTGTCAAATTTCATTAATTTTGGTCAACCCTAAGCCGTGCTTCAAGAGGGTTAAAAATTTAATCATGAGGGTAGTTTTTCAATAATTGTAGTTTATCTCAAAATTTATGACTTTTACATAAAAGTTTATAAGAAAAAAATTGTAGATATAAATATTTTACATAAAAAAGTTATTACTGAAAAAGTCATAAGTCAAATTTACCTCGCAAAAGTTAAAAGTTCAACAAAATTGAATTCCTGGTACTATTTTTTCAACTTTTTTTTTTTTTATAAATTACCGAGTCTCGAAAATCAAATTGCCCACCTTCATTGCTTTCCTCCTGAGTCCCTAGTACCGTTTCACAATTTTTCTCGATTGGTATATACAGTGCGCGTCTACGTCACTTGCCGAGGACTAAAAAGTTAGCTTGCCTATACGGAACGCCTGAACTCATAAGTCATTGAAACATTCGTTCAAACTTAATCATCAGTGAGCGTATCATAATGTTTACACTATTAAAAGTGTAGCAATTGAAATCAATTTTACTAATTTGTATAAATGTAAATTAAATTTATAAAATAATTTCTTTATGTAACTCAGACAAATTGTATTATTCCTTGAATAACACATATTGTTATATAAAAATAACGTTATTCCGGATTATTTTAGTAATAAAAATAAAGTTATCAAGTTACCATTTAGAGTTAAGAAAAGTTAAATTGTCAAAATTAAAATCTTTTTACTCGTATTATAGAAAATACATTTTTTTTATTATAAAATACTAACGGTCCATACCAACATAAAAAATACTCCATGACTGATAAATTGCATATTACATCTTAAAAAAAAATTTTTAATTCTAATATAATTTTTATTTTACATGAAAATAAATGGTTTAGAACAAGAATCAATATCTGATCAAATTAGAATGACTGATAAGACTGATAATTAATCATTATTTATAAGAAAAATATTCATATAATAAATATGTCATCCCTTTATATTTTGTTAATTTCACGTGAGTTTATAACTAATTTGTCTACCTTAAAATTTTTGAAACTTATTTATGTCGATTTACACATTTTTGTATTTCAATATCTCAAATACAATTATAAAAATATAATATGCAACAATTAAAAAAAATTTATATGAAGAAAATGGAAATTTTACAAACTTTTACAACAATAAATATAACTTTAATTTTAATTTTTCTGGCTAAAAGTTTTAATGGCCAATGTATTTTTCGTTTTACATAATGCAGAAGCGATTGTCTATTCCAATTTATTTGTTTTTATATAAATTTTTCTTCTTGTTTCCATGACTACAAATTTATATTGTTTAAGTTAATATTTTTTAACAGTCACGGGCGATTTAGGTGTGACACGGAAATTTTCTTAAGCCCGAAAACCCCACAAAAGTTGCCCAAAACCTCTTTAATATTTGATTTTTTGTAGTCAGATATTTAATTTATATCTCTGCNATTTTTTGTAGTCACATATTTAATTTATATCTCTGCACGAATAGTGAAACATGAAAACCAAAACCAAAAAGCCTATAAGCCATCTAAAAACTGGACATAGAAAATCAAATTCCATTCTCGTCAACATACGTTCAAATCCTTNAATCAAATTCCATTCTGGTCAACATACGTTCTAATCCTCATTATATTGGCAAACGTCCAAATAAACGTAAAATTATAAAATTTTATAAAGATCTTTTAACATTTTATGAAGACGAGGATACAACGATTCAAAAGCCTGAAATTTCCAAGACGTTCCAATCAAAAAAGACACTTAATGTTGGCCATGTTAAGAAAATTACTAAAAAACAAACAACTGTCAATAAAAGACAAGTAAA